CATTATCCAGCTTAATGCAAATAAAGTTAATCTAACTCTTCCTAAGCTAACATAATCAAACATATAACTTAACTACCTTAAGTAAACTTTAAACGTTATAATATTTACTGATCTAGGAATAAACTAATGTTTATATAATCAAAGTCATGCTAACTTTAACTAACCTAACCTTATCTTCAGGGTGGAAAGGAGGACAACGTGGCAGACGTTGCAAGTGAAAAAAATAGATGGTAGGTTACTGAGGTTTTGACGAGGATAGTGAGGCTCAGGTTAGGGTAAGTAAGACAGAGATTATTTTCTAGTAAAAGTAGGTCTTAGGTAAGACACACATGCAACAGTTAGGTATCTTTATTTCGAAACGTTTCGCCTACACAGTAGGCTTCTTCAGTCGAATACAGAAAAGTTGATAGAAGAGACGTTTCGAAATAAAGATACCTAACTGTTGCATGTGTGTCTTACCTAACAACCTGTCAGTATTTTATACCATTTTAATATTCACTCTGTCAGACACTGCAACACAATAGTATCTTGGTACAGAACAGAAAACACCTTGGACAACTTCTACTAGTGAGAATGGCTGGATTTGAGAGGGACGTGACCTCCCAACGACTACATCCTTACCTCTACCTGTGGCCTACATCTCACCTCCTGGCGGTATATAAGGCTCCATCCTGCCACTTCAACTCCATATTGTTTCAGACTATGGAACAACTCTTCTCCAGACTGAGGGACTGACCACCTCAAAACTTCAAGGGTGGACTGATTACATCGTCTTCACGTCTCTTCTATCAATTTTTCTATATTCGACTGAAGAAACCTACTGTGTAGGCGAAACGTTTCGAAATAAAGATACCTAACTGGTGCATATGTGTAATGATGTTGGGGAGAGGTGTGGGATTACTAAAGGTATTATCCAGAAAGCAGAAGGGGCTGTGTTGAGATTGTTCAGACATTTAGAGAGGATGGAAGAAAATAGGATGACTTGGAGAGTGTTTATATCTGTAGTGGAGGGAAGACAGGGTAGTGGTCGTCCTAGGAAAGGTGGGAGTGAGGGGTTAAAAGAGGTTTTGTATGTGAAGGGTTTGGACATTCATCGTGTGTGAGCGTGTTAGATAGGAGTGAAAGGAGGCAAGTGGTATTTATGACATGACGCGCTGTTGGAGTGCGAGCAATGTAACATTTATAAAGGGATTCAGGGAAACCGGTTCGCCCTGGAGGTGGAAAGGAAGGTGGGGATATTTGCAGTTTTGAACTGTAGTATAGGCATGCCTCTGGGAAGACAGTAATGGACTGAATGAAGAAAGTGTTTTTTTTTCTGGGTCACTTTCAAGCGCTTTCGTGATTTCTGACATTATCAGCTCATTGATAATGTGAGAAATCACGAAATCACTTGAAAATTCACAATATATATATATATATATATATATATATATATATATATATATATATATATATATTTGAAGACTTCCACTACCATCACCCGTCGCTCTTTCCGTCGCCAAACTTACCTAGAGAGCAGCTTCTGATAGTCATGATAGTCGTTGAGGGTCATGTAAATTTCCGCTAAGTTCTTTAGATCCTTTTGAGGCCCAGTTGTGTAGGTGACAGGAGCAAAGTACCTGCAAAAAAGAGGACAAGAGTATTTTGCTGTTCAACAAAAGATCTCGTCCCACCACATAGGCAGTGAAGGAACATGGTTCTTGTCCCACTGTTGTCAATGAATATGGAATAAAAGTAACACTCACTTTTTTTTCGAGATACCGGAAAGCTTGAACGACGCAACTGTGTGTGTGTGTGTGTGTGTGTGTGTGTGTGTGTGTGTGTGTGTGTGTGTGTGTGTGTGTGTGTGTGTGTACTCGCCTAATTGTGGTTGCAGGGGTCGATATTCATAGCTCCTGGTCCCGCCTCTTCACTGGTCGCTACTAGGTTCACTCTCTCCCAATTCCATGAGCTTTATCATACATCTTCTTAAAGCTATGTATGGATCCTGCCTCCACTACATCACTCTAAAGACTGTGATCGTATTTACTTGGACCTCCTCCTTTCTACAAAATCGCAAGCTCCTGATGATGTGTTGATTGCAACACGAAAGGCCTAGAGCTATCATTCAACTCCCCACGAGGTTACTTTGCGCGCACGCGCGCGCACTCACTATATATATATATATATATATATATATATATATATATATATATATATATATATATATATATATATATAATATATATAATATATATATATATATATATATGTCGTGTCGAATAGGTAAAACTTGCGATTTTGCCTTTAGTAGCAACGCTCTTCTTGCCGAATAAGACAAGCGATACTTTGTGTATATAATAATTTCGCAAAAATAATTCTGAACCTATCGAAAAAAAGAAATATTTCATTGTGTTTATTATTAAATTACTGTAAACTTTAAACGTATAAAAGAAAGTTTTAGAAAGGACTTAATTTTAAATGAGTTCTTGCTAATTGACCAGTTTTACCTAATCGGCAAGATTTAGCAATTTATTCAGGTGAAGGGTACTAGCCCTTGTTCTCGGCATTTTCTTGAGTGGTCAGTGGTCAGTCGTCACGTGAGGTCACAGACCCTGAGCTGCCTTGGGGATTAGCGTGGACGGTTACAAAGTATGGCTTGCTTCTGCAGTGTTTTAAAAATTGAGGTTGAAGAGTTGAAGGAGGAGGTCTTGCTTCTCCAGGAGGAGATTAGGAGGCTGAAGGTCCACCTCAATGGGTCTGGGAGAGAGTGTGAGGTGGCTGGAGTTGTGGGGAATGAGGCTTCTAGCAGTGAGGTGCAGTCTCTCTCTCGCTGTGAGGAGGCTGTAGTTGGGGAGGTAGCAACGGCTACCAGCAGTGAGGTGCAGCCCAGCACCTGCTACAAGTGGCGAGTGGTTCACAGTAATGGGAGGCGCATCAGAGTAAGGAAAGTTAAGAGTGAAGATCTGAAGGTAGGAAATCGCTTCTCTGTTCTTCAGGATGAATGTACTTCAGTGGCCAGTGAAGGTAAGGGTACTACTGCCCCTGCTAATGGAGGTAAGCGCATTCTTGTGGTTGGTGACTTTCAGGTAAGATATATTGACCGTGCTTTTTGTAAAAGGAATAAGATGAGAGATAGAGTGTGCTTCCCTGGAGCTGGTGTTGGGGACATAGTCAACAGGCTGGATAATATCATGTCAGGTAATGGGAACAAGCCCATTATCTGTCTCAGTGCTGGTGGAAATGATATTGGGAAGGGTAGGAGAGAAGAGCTGCTAGATAAGTACAGGTCAGCTATAGATTTCATTAAGTCTAAGGGAGGGATCCCAATCATATGTAGCATCTTGCCTAGAAGGGGAGTAGGAAATGAATGGTTGTCTAGGGCAATTGGTGTAAATTGCTGGCTAGACAGATACTGCAAGGAACTTGCAATCCCATTCATTGACAACTGGAACAACTTTCATGGCAAACATGATATGTATGCAAGGGATGGGGTACATCTCTCTGGGGCAGGGGTGGTAGCACTTGCAGACTCGATTGAGAAGGCCATTGGTGAAATGCCTATGATTTTAAACTGATGGAAGATAGAGGTATGGGTGTGTGTGGGAAACAAGCAGGTTGCAACACTAGGGTTGGAAACAGTAAATGTATAAAAGGCATTCAGCATGAAGTTATAAATAAAGACAATAGATCAGGTCAGCAAACAAAGGGGGACAGCAGAGGGCAGCAAGGGACTAGCTCCCTTAAGGTTTACTATACTAATAGCAGGAGTGTAAGAAATAAGATAGATGAGCTAAGATTAATTGCAAGTGCAGGAAACATAGATATTATTTGCTATAACAGAGACCTGGCTCAATCTGAAAGATAGAGAGATGCCCTCTGAATGTCACATACAAGGCTATAAATTATTCCACACTGACAGGGTCAACAGGAAAGGTGGTGGAGTAGCGATGTAAGTCAGAGACAATTTAAATTGTTGTGTTAGACAAGATATTAAATTAGAAGCGTCAGCCACTGAATCTGTTTGGTTACAGCTTCTCGAGGGCCGAGTAAAACTAATTTTGGGTGTGATTTACAGGGTCCCAAATCTTGATAGGGAGTGCAGTAAACTTCTATGGGACGAAATTCGTAAGGCATCTACATACGAAAATGTTGTGCTAATGGGAGATTTCAACTATAGACAGATTGACTGGAGCAATTTGACAGGAAATTTAGAGTCAGGTGACTTTCTTGATACGATCCAGGATTGTTTTTTAAAACAGTTTGTGACAGAGCCAACTAGGGGAAATAACCTCCTTGACTTGGTTCTTGCCAGTAGGGAAACACTATTTAATAATCTTGAGGTTAATGATGAGCTTGGGGAAAGTAATCACAAATCACTCAGTTTTAATATATCATGGAATTCCCCTAATAATGGCAATCAAGTCTCTGTCCCTGACTTTCGCTTGGCTGATATCATAGGACTGAAAAATTACTTAGGTGAGCTGAACTGGAATGACCTGACTAAGGGTCAGGTAGGTGGTGATGGTTGCCGATATGATGCTTTCCAGGGCATAGTTCTAGCTGCTCAGTCAAATTATGTTCCAAATAGGGAAATCAGATCAAACAAAAATGATCCTAAATGGATGAACAATAGATTAAAATATCTGATTGGTCAAAAGAGAGGCATATATAGGCAAATCAAAAGAGGAGAGGGGCAATTAAGAAATCGACATATTCAGTTAAAGAGAAATAAAAAAGGGAATTAGAAAAGCAAAGAGAGATTATGAGGTTAAAGTTGCAAGAGAATCGAAGACTAACCCAAAAGGATTCTTTCAGGTATACAGACGTAAGATCAGGGACAAGATAGGCCCACTCAAAAGTTCCTCGGGTCAGCTCACTGACAGTGATAAGGAAATGTGTAACATTTTTAACACAAACTTCCTCTCAGTTTTTACACAGGAGGATACCAGCGATATTCCAGTAATGATAAATTATGTAGAACAGGATGATAATAAACTGTGCACGATTAGGGTCACAAGTGACATGGTCCTTAGGGAAATAGATAAATTAAAACCTAACAAATCCCCAGGCCCTGATGAACTGTATGCAAGGGTTCTAAAGGAATGTAACGAGGAGCTTAGCACACCTTTGGCTAATCTTTTCAACATATCACTACCAACTGGCATGGTGCCAGATAAGTGGAAAATGGCAAATGTGATACCTATTTTCAAAACAGGTGACAGGTCCTTAGCTTCGAACTATAGACCAATAAGCCTAACCTCCATAGTGGGAAAATTTATAGAATCAATAATTGCCGAGGCAGTTCGTAGCCACCTTGAAAAGCATAAATTAATCAACGAATCTCAGCATGGTTTTACAAAGGGGCGTTCCTGCCTTACGAATTTATTAACTTTTTTCACTAAGGTATTTGAGGAGGTAGATCATGGTAATGAATATGATATTGTGTATATGGACTTCAGTAAGGCTTTTGACAGGGTCCCACATCAGAGACTATTGAGGAAAATTAAAGCACATGGAATAGGAGGAGAAATTTTTTCCTGGATAGAGGCATGGTTGACAAATAGGCAGCAGAGAGTTTGCATAAATGGGGAGAAATCAGAGTGGGGAAGCGTCACGAGCGGTGTTCCACAGGGGTCAGTGTTGGGCCCCCTACTGTTCACAATCTACATAAACGACATAGATGAGGGCATAAAGAGCGACATCGGCAAGTTTGCCGATGACACCAAAATAGGCCGTCGAATTCATTCTGACGAGGACATTCGAGCACTCCAGGAAGATTTGAATAGACTGATGCAGTGGTCGGAGAAGTGGCAGATGCAGTTTAATATAGACAAATGCAAAGTTCTAAATGTTGGACAGGACAATAACCATGCCACATATAAACTAAATGTGATCTTAATATTACGGATTGCGAAAGAGATTTAGGAGTTCTGGTTAGCAGTAATCTGAAACCAAGACAACAGTGCATAAGTGTTCGTAATAAAGCTAATAGAATCCTTGGCTTCATATCAAGAAGCATAAATAATACGAGTCCTCAGGTTGTTCTTCAACTCTATACATCCTTGGTTAGGCCTCATTTAGATTATGCTGCACAGTTTTGGTCACCGTATTACAGAATGGATATAAATTCTCTGGAAAATGTACAAAGGAGGATGACAAAGTTGATCCCATGTATCAGAAATCTTCCCTATGAGGATAGACTAAGGGCCCTGAATCTGCACTCTCTAGAAAGACGTAGAATTAGGGGGGATATGATTGAGGTGTATAAATGGAAGACAGGAATAAATAAAGGGGATGTAAATAGTGTGCTGAAAATATCTAGCCTAGACAGGACTCGCAGCAATGGTTTTAAGTTGGAAAAATTCAGATTCAGGAAGGATATAGGAAAGTACTGGTTTGGTAATAGAGTTGTGGATGAGTGGAACAAACTCCCAAGTACAGTTATAGAGGCCAGAACGTTGTGTAGCTTTAAAAATAGGTTGGATAAATACATGAGTGGATGTGGGTGGGTGTGAGTTGGACCTGATAGCTTGTGCTACCAGGTCGGTTGCCGTGTTCCTCCCTTAAGTCAATATGACCTGACCTGACTAGGTTGGGTGCATTGGCTTAAGCCGGTAGGAGACTTGGACCTGCCTCGCATGGGCCAGTAGGCCTTCTGCAGTTTTCCTTCGTTCTTATGTTCGTTCTTAAGAGACGCATAGCTTACGGAGGAAAGAGTCGTCTCCACTTCCCTACGGAGTGTGTATCGTATATATTTTCAAGAAATGAACTGGAGTTAGCTTCATTACTGATCATTACTGGTTTGGATTTAGCTCTAACAATATTGTCGTCGATACAACAGCAGAACTTGCAGACAATACGAGGAACATTGTATCAACCCTATATTAACACCATAGTACAATGGTAGTGAGCAAGATCAGCTTACGTTAGACCGAGGGTTAGAGTTCCTCTACTTCTTCAACAAGTTATTAATTGTTTACGATAGTTTTGATGTATCGGTAACGGCAGTGATGAATGAAAGTTAAATTGATCACACGGACTGTTCCACCACACTACTACGACTGATGCTCGCCCCGTCACCAGTACGACCAATGCTCGCCCCGTCACCACTACGACCAATGCTCGCCCCGTCACCACTACAATCAATGCTCGCCCCGTCACCACTACAACCAATGCTCGCCCCGTCACCACTACAACCAATGCTCGCCCCGTCACCACTACAACCAATGCTCGCCCCGTCACCACTACAACCAATGCTCGCCCCGTCACCACTACAACCAATGCTCGCCCCATCACCACTACAACCAATGCTCGCCCCATCACCACTACAACTAATGCTCGCCCCATCACCACTACAACCAATGCTCGCCCCATCACCACTACAACCAATGCTCGCCCCGTCACCACTACAACCAATGCTCGCCCATCACCACTACAACCAATGCTCGCCCCATCACCACTACAACTAATGCTCGCCCCATCACCACTACAACCAATGCTCGCCCCATCACCACTACAACCAATGCTCGCCCCGTCACCACTACAACCAATGCTCGCCCCATCACCACTACAACCAATGCTCGCCCCATCACCACTACGACCAATGCTCGCCCCATCACCACTACGACCAATGCTCGCCCCATCACCACTACGACCAATGCTCGCCCCATCACTACAACCAATGCTCGCCCCATCACCACTACAACCAATGCTCGCCCCATCACCACTACAACCAATGCTCGCCCCATCACCACTACAACCAATGCTCGCCCCGTCACCACTACAACCAATGCTCGCCCCGTCACCACTACAACCAATGCTCGCCCCGTCACCACTACAACCAATGCTCGCCCCGTCACCACTACAACCAATGCTCGCCCCATCACCACTATGATTAATGCTCTCCCCATCACCTCTACAACCAATGCTTGCCCCATCACTACAACTAATGCTCGCCCTGTCACCACTACAACCAATGCTCGCCCCGTCACCACTACAACCAATGCTCGCCCCGTCACCACTACAACCAATGCTCGCCCCGTCACCACTACGACCAACGCTCGCCCCGTCACCACTACGACCAACGCTCGCCCCGTCACCACTACAACCAATGCTCTCCCCGTCACCACTACAACCAATGCTCGCCCCATCACTACAACCAATGCTCGCCCCATCACCACTACGACCAATGCTCGCCCCGTCACCACTACAACCAATGCTCGCCCCGTCACCACTACAACCAATGCTCGCCCCGTCACCACTACAACCAATGCTCGCCCCGTCACCACTACAACCAATGCTCGCCCGTCACCACTACAACCAATGCTCGCCCCGTCACCACTACAACCAATGCTCGCCCCGTCACCACTACAACCAATGCTCGCCCCGTCACCACTACAAACAATGCTCGCCCCATCACCACTACGATTAATGCTCTACCCATCACCTCTACAACCAATGCTTGCCCCATCACCACTACGACCAATGCTCGCCCCATCACCACTGCGACCAATGCTCGTCCATCACCATTACGACTAATGCTCACCCCATCACCACTACGACCAATGCTCGCCCCGTCACCACTACGATCAATGCTTGCCCCGTCACCACTACGACCAATGGTCGCCCCATCACCACTAGGACCAATGCTCGCCCCATCACCACTATGACCAGTGCTCACCCCATCGCCACTACGACCAATGCTCGCTCCATCGTCAATACGATCAATGCTCGCCCCATCACCACTACGACCAATGCTCGTTCCATCGCCAATACAATCAATGCTCGCCCCATCACCACTACGACAAATGCTTGCCCACCACCAATACGATCAATGCTCGCCCCATCACCACTACGACAAATGCTCGCCCCATCACCACTACGACCAATGCTCGCCCATCTCCAATACGATCAATGCTCGCCCAATCACCACTACGACCAATGCTCGCCCATCACCAATACGATCAATGCTCGCCCCATCACCACTACGATCAATGCTCGCCCCCATCACTACAACCAATGCTCGCCCCATCACCACTACGACCAATGCTCGCCCCATCACCAATACGATCAATGCTCGCCCCATCAGCACTACGACCAATACTCGCCCCATCACTACGACCAATGCTCCCCCCATCACTGCGACCAAAGCTCGCCCCATCACCACTACGACCAATGTTCGCCCCATCACCACTACGACCAATGCTCGCCCCATCACCACTACGACCAATGCTCGCCCCATCACCACTACGGCTGATGCTCGCCCCATCACCAATACGATCAATGCTCGCCCCATCACTACGACCAATGCTCGCCCCATCACCACTACGGCTGATGCTCGCCCCATCACCACTACGGCTGATGCTCGCCCCATCACCAATACGATCAATGCTCGCCCCATCACTACGACCAATGCTCGCCCCATCACCACTATCCCACCACTTTCTACAATACTATTACCATTACTCACTTTATATATTTAGAGTTCTCCAAAAATGTAGTCATATCGTACTTGAAGATCTTAAGGTTGACGAGGTCGTCGGGAGAGAGGGAAGTGGTGTCGATCTTCTCAGCTCGACTCAACAACTGCTCACACTTCACCTGTCCAGCATAAACACAACACTCATTGTTTACCAAGGTCGAAACACTCACAATATTCACCTCTTTTCCAAGTTGATTAGAGAAGGAAAAGTTTATTACAAGTAACACTACAAGGGCCCGGTGGCCTGGTGGCCTGGTGGCCTTGTGGCCTGGTGGCCCGGTGGCCAAAGCTCCCACTTCACACACGGAGGGCCCGGGTTCGATTCCCGGCGGGTGGAAACATTTCGACACGTTTCCTTACACCTGTTGTCCTGTTCACCTAGCAGCAAATAGGTACCTGGGTGTTAGTCGACTGGTGGGGGTCGCACCCTGGGGGAAATAAGTTAGACAGTCCTTGATGACGCACTGACTTTCTTGGGTTATCCTGGGTGGCTAACCCTCCGGGGTTAAAAATCCGAACTTTATCTTATCTTATTACTGCTCTGAATAAGCATATATATATATATATATATATATATATATATATATATATATTATATATATATATATATATTATATACACATATATTCATATATATATATATATATATATATATATATTAGCAAATCAACGTGGTTTAAAAAATTTTTTTTCAACCTGACAAACAGCTATTTTACTTATCCCTGTTAAAATATAACAGAATTTAGCCTATTCTTAAAAAACTAAACTTAGATCTTCTAAGACAGTAGTATTTATCAGTGATATATTTTAACTCAGTGATATTCAGGCTGATTTTAGCTGAGTAATAACAACTGTAGTTTAACAATTGCTTAATTACTTTAACTATCGTCACATTATAATGGAAGAACTCAAACTTTGTGTTAAAGCTACATTATATACACCGAGAAGTGTGTGGCTCTTAGCATTTTAAACCCTATTTTTTAAGGACTAAAATTTCTTGTTATCTCTGTACAAGTGAACTGTGAGTTTAATGACCTATGTAACTTAATACCAAAAGCTAAGGTGACTGACCTTGCTCTGCTCGAGGTGTGCCAAACTGTAGCTGTCTAGATGACCTGCCGTGTCGTCGTTGATGCCAACCTGTTCACACACACACACACACACACACACCAATATTAGACACCACGTAATCACATTTTTTCTTCGTCTCTTTGTAAATTCACATGGTTAATTAAATTCATTAAACTTGGGGAGAGTTCTGGAGAACTAAGCATGTTTGGCTCTAATGTGAATTCATAAGGAGTTTATTACGAGTTCCTCAAAATTACTTAGAAAGTCCACAAAATTACGCATTAGAACTTTGAAGCTTGAATGTCTAGGTATAAAATATATTGTATACGTATAAAATGTACTGACTTACATAACTGCTATTTTTTTACAGCAAAAATACCAGAGGATCTCGTTTTCATTAAGACCATTCTGTTATTAGCACAAGTATGCTCATTTAGTTCTGATCTATTTAACCTGCTATATATTCCAGACCAGTCACGTAGTACACACTAATGGTTATAATTATAATCTTAATTTTTAAGTGAGAGGGGAGACCTTTAAGTCAGTGAAAGGCCTCGGTCATTATATGAATAAGACCCGCGTCAGGAAACTTCATTATCCTATATACCTACTTGCCCATCCCGTGCAGTTCTGTCTCAAGTCCAACCTACCCAATATTCTCCACCTGACTCTCCACCCAATATATACAGTCATGCACTCTGCCCAAGTACAGCTGTTTGTGACTTTAAAAAGCCAACTGTGGGAGAGAAACGTAGTCAATAAAGGATCGCATAATACTGCATTTGTGTTTTTTTTTTCCAATAAAAACTATTACTATGATGGAATGAAACTTGAAAATGCAGTATCTGATGAACATTTAATGAAATATATGACGCTATATCCTTATTACCCCTCAGTAGTCTCCCAGCTCAGGCTGACAGATTTTAACGCTATTTATGTGAAAGAATATGACAGGGAAAACATACCTAGCTTTTGTCCCCATAATGTAACACTATTATATAAAATAGGGTAGCAACACATTGCTAAAGAATCCAATTTTGCTAAAAAACAATGAAATAAATAATCTTTTCCCAGGAAGGTCTGAGATATTCTTCATAGTTTTGATCTTACCTCCGAAGTAAACTGCGGGAAATTTTGAGTTTTCCAGTGCCAGTAATCTTGCATGAGATTCTGAAGGTCAGTAGTATTAGGTGTGGGTTGTGACAGAGGAATATGGGCCATTGTACCAGTGTTGGATACCATCAAGGTCACTGTCACCATTACAACCAAAGACATAATCAAATTCTTCTCCTCCGCTCTCCTGTAAAGACAACCTATCACAGCCTGGTGATATATGCAGACATTTACCCATTTCTGCTACTGTACCACTTACAGTCTACAATAAATTAACCAATAAAATATGATACTTCATTGTTTTGATATTAATATGACTGGTGCGAGGCTTCTTTTACCCTTGTATTCCTGTCTGAAGCCAAGTTGTCTTGAAGAATGAGACTTGTGCAACATTTGGTTATCTTTAATGAGGAAACGTGTCTCCAGCCAGCGGCTTCTTCAGTCCAATACAAAGTACAACAGTGGAAAAAGAGGAGGAGTTTGAGGTAATCAGTCCGATTACCTCAAACTATTCATACCGTTCTTCCTTGTACTGGACTGAAGAAGCCACTGGCTGAAGAAACGTTTTCCCAATAAAACAACCAAATGTTGCACAAGTGTCTCTTTTTTCAACCTGTCGGTTTCCAAAACCATTTATCACAGATTCCCTTGTTGACTTCTGGTCATCCTGGCGGCTTTGGCGCTTCCATCCATGAAAATCTTTGTCATGTCATGATTTAATAAACGTCTTAACAGACCCAAACCATATCCTAATAAAGGTTTGTTTTGCAAAGTTATATTTTTTCCTCCTTCTGGCAACACGCTATTTAGTTCCAGTTTGCTGGACTGTGTTCTGGAGACTCCAAGTATAGTGCTTGTGATTAACTGCTTTAAAATAAATCTGCAGTAACCATCTCAAAATTGAATACAACAAATTTGTTAATAGTTGAAACAGCGATGCCCCTCTCAGCCTAGCACAGAAATATATAAATATAATAAAAAAGATTAGTTAGGTTACACCTCAGTTATAAGTTTGTTAATACATGTAAGAAGTCTTAGCCTAACTCACCATAAAATCTCGAGGGCAAATGAACAAATAAAAAAGTGGTAATAAAAAACTTTTAATTCACATTTGGACAAATCTAAACGATGCATCTGAAGAAAAGTTGAAACTGATGAAGTTCACTAATCAAAATAATGACCAACAATGTTATTTCACGAACATGAATTTTACAGTGCATTATAGATAGTTTTCTACCATTTTTCTTGACATCCTCAGAGTCTAACTCCCTGATATATTTTTACCAGGTATGAACAATCGGCGGCCCTCAACATCATTGGCAAAAAAATCAAACTATAGTATCAATGACTTGCGACTGAATACTTTCCACTGACTTAATCCATAAATTGTGCATTGCATAGCTCATTTTGTTGGTTATTAATAACTGTTTTTTAAACATTTAATTAGTATAATAAATATAAAACAGAGTATCAATTAGTCTTAATGAGTGTTAATTAACTAAACATTAATAACAAGGGAAGTTGTGGTTATATCGAGGTTATACATCGAAAAGAATCCTCAACCTTTGACAACATTGTTATTTTATGAATGAAGAGGACAGTGTAATTCTTGAGTTTGATAATGTAGAGTGGCTCTGAGATGTAGAGTTTCTTGATGTTACTGGTCATCAGCTTGAGTACTCAACTTCAAAAGTTTGTTTCCCAACTTAAAGACGGTCTGCTTTTAAATACAAACTTAATCCGTTCATGGAGAACTTGACCATTTTCCTATATATCAAGATAACCTTGAAAAGCAAGGTGTGAATAACAAGGTTGCAAACTATGAAAGAAGCGTAATTTTCATTGGGATTTTATGAAGCTTTTTTGGTGATTTCAAGAAAGAACAGAAATGAAAGATGTTTTTCTCAAAGGTTATAGAAGAAAACTTAATCAATCTCTACAGTTGTCTGCCTCAAGATAAGTATTCATGGTTGTATAAAAAGGTTCTTATTTATCCATGTTTATCTGGCTTTATTTATGTCTGCGGTCAGACATTCAGCATGTTGAATCTCACAAAGTCGAAGACTCGAAACTGACTTTGATGACAATCTACACTACATTCTGTGGTTGACAACTATGAAATATGATCCCATTATCATAAAACTAGTTTCAGAAACAGTGCTAGAAATAACAAAGTAACTAATCGCTCCCTTAAAGTATATTGTTTATCTCACTGTATAAACTTAAGTGTTAGGCCTAACAAAATATCTTCTATACTTTATATTGGCAACAGCTGACAGCTTGAAGATTATCAATAAAAAATAGAATCTAGCTTAAGTTTAACTTCGTTAGGGACGGCTGGCCTAACAGCATTTACAGAGGCTCGACATTCTCGTTCAGAGAATATTCTAAAATTGGGAACATTCCCTGATGACTCGCTGAAGTGCTTGCGAAGCATCTCTACAACCTACTGGGAAAAACTTAAGTCCTTCCCATTTTAGAGACTCAAAACCTGGTTGACAAAGTCAAGGGCATTAACTTAAAGAATATGACACTCCCAAGTTATGATGTTATTTACATTTCAAGAAGCCTTCCTACAGATTAAGCCTTCATAGACAACTTAAAGCTCTCGTTACTGCCAAAAAACAGACTTTGGCTACTATGAAATCGTTGAACTGTAAATTCCCACAGAAAAGATGAAACGATGTTTCTCATTACAGTTGTGGCTATAGTAGCCACATTTATGTTGCTCGTAGTAAGAATCTGGTTAGTGTTGATGGCCAAGTCCTCGAGCTCCGACTTGAATTTAATGTAGCTTCGACCATGCTCGGTCTTCCATTAAATTCTTCTTGGGGCTCTAAGAAGGCAGATACTTTTCCTTCTTAAAAGTCCTCCCTTTCATAACACCACAAAGTGACACTCCTCGTTTTCAAAGTATACAGGAAGCCTGCCAACATAAGCGATCTCATGAATTTTTATTCACACCTCAACAGACGAACGAAGAGAGATGTAGTGAGGGGTTTTCCTAAGAGTTCTCTGTAAATAAAATCCTGCTTTTTCGTGAAGAAATGTTTCTTTATCTCACAAGACTTCACAAGTTTACGCTTCCCATGCTTATTCATTCGTGACTGTAGATGTAGAATGTAATCCATCCTAAACACCACATCTTCAGTACACACCAAGAAGTGCTTGGTTCCAGCATGTGGCGACGAAGCTAACGCATCACATTATGAACCCTCGCTAGGAGTAATATCAGCATGTCGGTAATGTCCTCAAAGCTCATAAAAGACATCACCGCGAACCCCCTCCCACTATACCCCATGAATATACCAATGGTTCCTAGAATATTTTATGCAGGCACTGTAATCAAGAATACAAAGGAGAATCTGATACTAGTTTATCAATAAGGATTAATGAACATAAATATGCTTGAAGCAAGGTCAACCAAAGTAACACGGATTGAGACACTTATGCAGCAAATGAGAATTTTTATTGAAGAAACGATTCGCCCCGAGCGCTTCAAAACAGCTGTCAAGAGACTCCAGGTCGTTACCTGACCTCACCACAGCTCTTTACACACGTCTTCTTGCTCATATGTACAAATGTTTTTATCCCATAAAAAAAACGTGAATAAAATCCTCAGAGGGAAACGTTTACTCACTAAAATGTCCTAAGTGCTTGCCTGTGTCTTGATCCACAGCCACATGTACCACTACCTGCCCATCACCACCACCACCTGCACGCTCCCAACCACCTACATCACCACAAACCTGTACCACCATCACTGTGGAAAATTACATTTAATGTATCATTATGTACATAACAGTATATGAACAAAGATAATTATTATTTATCAGTTAGACAAGTAGGAATTTGGGACACCTAGGTCGCAAAAAAATGTCCCCCTTCGATACCTACCACTGTCGTATCCACAAGTTGCTCTGGACCTATTAATTACAAATGAAAGATGCATCAACAAGAATTCTGGTAAATAAATTTGGTGGACTGTATATTAAATTAATAAAGAATTATATATATACACATTTACATAACAGAAGGAGAATATCTTAAAATCACTCACCAATTTGACTGGAGATTAAGGCGTATCATACTCAGAAAACCTCACTGTCTATCTATGAAAATAACACTGGCCAAGTTACAAAATAAGACTTATCTTAGGTTCCTGGAGCTGTCTTGTCCAGTCGCCTGATATCTCAAGTCATGCAGAAATGCACATCCAACAATTTCGCCTCCTATTGGAGAGGTGTCAACCCAATTTTACCTCTAGAGCACGAAAATTCTTCACACTATTAACAAATGTCTGTTACTCTCAATTCAAAAACAAACAACAATGGCCAGTGTCGTCTGCGCAGGCGCAGGTTCCCATTTTCGATAACATAATTTATTAAATACAATATAGGCCATCTATTTACCTATAAATTACCGTATTTATGGAAAATATATACAGGATTTTCCACAATCACTACCCACACCACCGCCACTGCCACCACATGTACAACCACCAGCACCACACTCACTTTCCCCTCAATACTCACTCTCTAGTTCCCTCATCACTTATTCAGGTTCGTCCTGAGTACAAGTTGTTCTCTCCCTCACCCCACAACAACACGCTCAACACTGCTGCTACCGTCACTGGCGCAATAACTCGGTAACGAGGAGGAAGTTCTGGCACACTCCTGTTGGCTGGAAGCCAATAGACTGTATTCATTTTATGTAAAATTATGGTGGATTTCTTTTTTTTTCTACCCCCCCCCCAAGAGCCCAATTGTGCAGTGCCACTCATTTCTTGAATGAATTACGGGGGAGCGCTAAACTCGTAGGGATTACACAGCTTCTCTGCAAGGGGTTGTAATGCATTCAGGCTCGATTCAGGGAACTGGATCTCAAATTCAATTCCCTTAATCAACAGCCCCTCACCAGCATCAAGGAACCTCCCTTGAGGAGGTCTTGAATGAAAATATCTCTGTGAAGATATCAATGGGCAATACTGAACCTATTAGCAAATATAGCGAAATAAAGACAATACTAGGCATTATTACTCATTCTGTGAGTGAACACGCAGTTATAAAGACAGTACTGGGTTGGCAAGTTAACAGGGAACGAGTATAGGAGAGAATTCCTTTTCCTGAGTTAATAAGCCGTGAAAATGTTTTAAGCAGTTTAATTCATGTTTTGAGAAAGCTTTCCTCAAGACAGTAATGGGCAGTGCCACATATTCTGTGAGAAAACTTAGTGATGAATAGAGAACCACTTATTATGAATACACTGCTGAAATTTTTTGATTAAACCGATCACTAGCTAGACAGTACTGGGTAGTGCCACTCAGCTTGCTACTGTACATTCACAAGTAGTGGACAATGTCACTCAACATGTGAGTAAATATACCGTCTTAAAATACTTACATATATTTACCAGAATACACAGTTGATAAGAAGCTTGCGACATTAACTTTGTCTTCATCTCTTGTAATATTCAGGTATCACTACTTTTACAAATTATCATTATATATTTTACAGTCAATCTTGTATATTTTTTAAAATGTTATGAACATTAGTTGCAGTATTCTTAGTGGTTGTAAAACTTAGTAGTATTAATATTAATTTGCTTTATACTGATATAGTCTAAGATAAAGCGCTGTAATGTGTTTATCCCGTTTTCTTCGCTCTTTAAACCACTTTTCCATTCTTGAAGTTGCTACAACACTCTGACGAAGCTTATGGGTGCCCCTAAACCAGTGGATCTTAACATTTCGACATTGTTACTCCCCGAGGTAGCCATTACAACCCCTTTTTTTAAATGATAATTATGAAAAAAAGGAAAATCATGAAATAACGAAATCATATTTTACTCTCAGAATTTCCCCCCAAATATGTCGAACTATTGGCTAATGTAAATATTGAATTCGTTTAGAAAAAAATGAAGTTGGATAATTCATATGCTAATATCTAACCAGTTCTACATTTAGATTTAGACCCACGACGCATTTAGAAGTTTAAATACATGACAAACCATACATTAGAGATTGAACTATCAGTGTGATGGTTATTACTGCTTCTAACTCAGCTTTGAGATGTCAGTCTTCGTCACAACCGTCATCTCAGGTGAGTTAATTTCTTGCTTTGGTTTTATTGCTGATCATTATAGACAAGTCAACCTCACAGTGATGTTGTAGCGTAAAGAATGAGGACAGAGCTCTTTCTGGTATTCATCACCCGCTTTTCGTAAAAAAAAAAAAATAAAATAAAAGTCATAATACCGTGGCTGGGATAATTTACCAAACATCCTCATTCAGGAGAGGAATCTTATGATTACATTTCTGTCCGTCCTGGTCCATTGTCAAGTCACAAATGGGACGAGAAAAGATGAGAAGATCAGAAGAGAAAAAGGTAAGGGGAGGAGGAAGAATGGAACAGAAGCAGCAGCACAATCACATTACAAGTAGAATTATTAAACATATGTGCAACATCTGTTTGTCTTTATTTTCAGACGTTTCGCCATCCAGTGGCTTTATTAATACAAATTCGAGGACATAATGGGAAGACTGTAGAACTAAGTACAGAAGACGAGGAAATCAGCCCTTCAGTCTTGAAGTTGGTGAAGAGTACCGCAGTCTTGAAGAATCTGTACTTTCTGAACCTCCGAGCCGTAACCACTTCATGACGCTGGCACCGTGTGCATATTCGTCAAATACACCTTCGTTCACACTGACAAGTCCAAAATTTTGTAAATAATTCATCGAGAACTTTGACAACACAGAGGCTGCAAATCACACTCAAGGAGAAAGACCTAAGTGTAAGTATAGCACCGAACATATCGCCAGAGGTACATACTCTAATAATCTCTGCGGCTAATACTCATTTGACAAATCTAAGACAAGTTTCCAGAAATCTCAACAAAGAATCATTCATAGTCCAATAAGACATACGGGAAGGACATCTGAGAATATGTGACTCCAACATGGGATCTTCACTTGGAGAGGTATGCAACGAGATTAGGGCCCCAATGGAAATAAGTCACTCTGACTTTTTGTGTTATCCTAGGTTCTCTACACATATGCTGCTATGTATGATAATCTATGTAACTGCATTTGTCTATACCTGAATAAACTTACTTACCAGAGCTGACTTGTACGAGCTGAGAGGAGAGGCTAAGATGACGAACATGACAACACATGCGGATAACAGAACTAAGGAAGACATGATACCAACATATAAAATACTTAGAGAATTTGGGAAGAAGATATGTCCAGAAGCTGGTAACAGGTACACAATGGCAAAATTTAGTAATTGAAGACACAAGAATGTCAGGAAGTATTTCTTCAGCATCAGAGTGGTCAAAAAGTGTTATGACCTGAACGAAGAATCTCTGGAGGCTCCCTCCATACCTAGTTTCAAGAATATTTATGACAAAGCCCACGAGGCAATAAGGCTGGAGACCCGGCAAGTAAAAACGCTAGGAGCCAGGGCCAGGGTTGAGATGCGATCTCTGCAGCCACAAACAAGTGTGTGCAAATAAGAGTACACTCACATGCGCACACCACACATACACAATACACACAACACACGCAACACACACACACAACGAGTCAGAGATGTCCCTGTTCGCAGATGACGTGAAACTAATGAGAATTCCAACAGCAGGAGACTAAGGCTAAAAATATATCTTGTTAAGCTACAGAATTGGTCTGATAAGTGGCTATTAGACTAACCCCAGTAAGTGTAAAGTTATGAAATAAGGAAAAAGTAAAGATGACAAGTAACGGAGTACAGGTTTGGGAAATAAAGGCTGCAAACATTCCCTAAAAGAGAAGGACCTCTATGTGAGCACAGCATCGTGCATATCACTTGAGGTTTACATCGACAAAATAATTGCCGTAACAAACGCGAGACTGGCAAATTTAGAGGTAGCGTTTAGGAACCTCAACAAGAAGTCGTTCACAGAAATCTATACAACGTATCTCAGGCTTATCTTGGAGTATGTGCCGCCAGTATGGGACCTTCATGTAGAAAAGCATATAAAGAAGCTGGAAACAATGCAAACAATTACAAGACTAGCCCAAGAACTGAGAGACCCCACCTATGATTGCTAAATCTGACGATACTGGAGGACAGGGCACTAACTGACACGATTACGACGTACACAATATTTTGAGGAATAAACAGGTGGATAGGTGGTAGAAACGGTATCCACACATAGCATTAAGAATAGGTATAACAAGGCTCAAGCAGTTTGGAAAATGTGAACCCAGAACCGGTCACCGGTGGGAAGAGGTAAGAGTCTGAACACCTGCAACTACGCGCACACACACACACACACACACACACACACACACACACACACACACACACACACACACACACACACACACACACACACACAAATCTTAATAACAGTCAATGTTCTTATTGTACTAGTGTTCAGTGTTCATGTACTAGTCTTAGTAACAGTCACTGTTGTTGTACCAATGTTCATGTATTAGTCTTAAAAGTCCCTGTTGTGGTTGTACCAGTGTTCATGTACTAGTCTTAACGGCAGTCACTGTTAGTCAGCTCATTCTAACCAGTGTAAACACTGTATGCCTTCACATACACACACACATTACGAAAATATGTTGGAGCCCTGAGGGGGTTCAAACCGGATCTAGGGGCGGCTATTACAAATTATTAAAAATAAACCACCCTAGGGCCACACTTGTTACTTCACAAAAGAGGTAAACAGGTGGTCAGTACCCTTATTACACCTTAGGTTTATCATGGAATGTTAATTCAATGGTCCTTTAGAAAAATATATCTGTTTTACATAATATACAGAACACACAACTTGCCTTCAACACATTGGGCCTTTTACAAAAACACTCGAGTACGCTGCTGGTAGTTAATTAAGGATAGGACACAGAATGAAAAATAAACATTACTTTGTATCAGCAGTGTCGCCATGACCTCCCTCTTCTAGTTGGCTTCTAGCCTCTTGTTAAATGCGCCATTTCAGAATCTCAACCAAACACATCGGCTCCATTCGAACAACAGGGCCAGGCCCATACCAGGGCCCATTTGAGTGTAAATATAAACCCAAAACTAGCCAATGGCCTGAGAATTATAACAAAATAGTCCAAGGTACTTTTCTCCACTCTAACTTCATCACATCACACCACACCACGCTCTACCCTAGTGACGCTCTGATGTCCCTCCTTGAGCTTCCACAGCGTTCGGGCTTAATGCCCAAAGTTGGGGTGTGGCTCCAAAGGGATCCTGTAGTGCTTGCTGCCTTTGCACCTCCTGACATCATCTACTGTTATGCAGCTGCCACACCCTTCGAGCCCAGTGTGGGCATGGTTTGTGGCAGCACAAGATGCCTAGCTTCTTCCGAGCCCCGTGGGGGCGGGGAATGGGGCTAGGCTTGGGGACAACTGGTCCCAGAAGATGAAGAGGTACTTATACCTCCTCCCATGGCAGACATTGGTCTGAGACACTCCCACAACAGGAAGCCAAGACCGGGCCACCTCTTGGAAAAGGCTTGGGCCGGGCGATTATACCGGCCAATCTACTATCTACCATCCTCTAAGAACGTTCTAATATGCTGACTTTTATACAATTACACACGCACACACACACACACACACACACACACAC